TAAACTCAAAAAGGATAAAAGACTTAATTAAATGTAAGTTGCAAAACCATAAAAATCTTAAAAGAAAATATAGGCAGTAAAATCTCAGACATCTCACGTAGTAGTATTTTCATCAATACATCTCCTAGGGCAAGAGAAACAAAGGGAAAAATAAACATTTCAAACTAAAAAGCTTCTGCACAGCAAAAAAAAAAAAAAAAAAATCAACAAAAAGAAAAGGGAACCCAATGTGTAGTATAGAGGAACATATTTGCCAGTGATATCTCTGATAAGGGATTAATTTCCAAAATATATAAGGAACTCATACAACTCAACACCAGGAAAACAAACAACCAAATTAAAAATGGGCGGAGGATCTGAATAGACACTTCTTCAAACTGGTCAATAGACATGAAAAAATGCCTGGCCAGTATGGCTCAGTGGTTGAGCATTGATTTATGAACCAGGAGGTCACAGTTCGATTCTCAGAGCTTATGCCCAGGTTGCAGGCTCGATTCCTAATGTGGGGCATGCAGGAGGCAGCTGATCAATGATTCTCTCTTATCATTGATGTCTCTCCCTCTCCCATCCTCTCTGAAATCAATAAAAATATATCTTTTTTAAATGCTCAGCATCACTAATCATCAGAGAAATGTAAATTAAAACTACAATGAGGTATCACCTCACACCTGTCAGAATGGCTACCATCAATAAATCAACAAACAACAAGTGCTGGCGAGGATGTAGAGAAAAGGGAACCCTAGTATACTGCTGGTGGGAATGCAGACTGGTGCAGCCACTGTGCAAAACAGTAGGTTATTTTCTCAAAAAATTAAAAATGGAACTGCCATTTGACCCAGCCATCTCACTTCTAGGAATCCTGAAACACACTTATCAGAAAGAATAAATGCACTCCTATGTTCGTAACAGTGTTGTTTACAATAGCTAAGATCTGGAAACAGCCCAAGTACCCATCAGTAGATGAGTGGATAGAAAAGCTGTGGATAGTATTACACAATGGAATACTATCTCTATATTTAAAAGCCTAATATGCAAATTGTCCCTGCGGGAGTTCAACCAGGAGACTGATTGCTCGCTATGACGTGCTAACCACCAGGGGGTGGCGCAGAATGAAGGGAGGCCCTGGCCGGCAGCCAGAAGGCCCCAATCAGTCCTGATTGCCAGCCAGGCCTAGGGACCCAATCCATGCACAAATTTTGTGCACTGGGCCTCTAGTGTGGCTGTGAAAAAGCAAGATCTCTCTCTTTTTTTTTTTTTTTTTTTTGGTTCCCAAGTTCTATTCAAGAACTCATACAAAATTTGTCAGATAAATGAGCTTTAACCCTCATCTTCCTCCTCTTCTTCATCCTGGTTTATCTGGAAGTAAAGCAATTCGTAACTCTCTTTGCTGTTAGCAACTACACGCAACCAGTCACATAGGTTATTCTTCTTCAAATATTTTTTGGTGCAATATTTCAAATATCTTTTGGAAAAAGGCACCTCAGACGTTACAGTGATCTTACTCTTGCTTCTTTCAATGGTTACAACCCCTCTGCCGAGATTCCCAGCTTTTCCATTCACTTGGATTCTCTCCTGAAGAAACTGCTCAAAGTTGGCAGAGTCCATGATTCCACCTTTATGGGGTGGGTGCAGTGAGGGTGAACTTCAGAACCTGCTTCTTTTTTTTGCCCCCCTTCGCCACGAGCTTTTTCACGGAGCCATGGCGGCTGCGGAGGCAGAAAGAAGATCTCTTAACTTTTGTGACAGCATGGATAGACCTGGGGATTATTATGCTAAGCACCTGGAAAGCAGGGAAGCTCACGCCCCTTCCCCATACCTGCCCTAGGCATCTCTTCCATCTGGCCATTCAGAGGTTGTAGGCTTTACAACAAACTGGTCTTTTAGTAAGTAAACTGTTTCCCAGGGTTCTATGAGCCGCTCTAGCAAATGATTGAACCCAGGAGGAGGTTGTGGAAACCTCTGATTTGTAGCCAAGTTGGATAGACGCTGTGGGTCACACCACTTATGACTAGCAGTCACTGAAGTGACCCACTAACAGTTGTGGGACTGAGCCCTTAACCTTCTCCACACGTGCCCCCAACAGCTACTGCAGATGGTCGGGCGTGGCTGACGTGGCACACACCTCCCCTGTCCTGGGCAGACCCAGGAGGACTTCCTCGGCCACACACATCTCTCGGGTCTCAGGGACTATATGAAGCCTCTGCTTCCTTCCTTCTGGGGAGATGAGCTCCCAGCTTACAACTGAGGAGGCGTCACTGTCTGAGCGCACTCAGGCTGAGCCAGTGTCCACTGCTGCTCAGACAGGCCCCTCGGAAGGGGATGAGAAGCAGGCTTTCATTTCTGAGTGAGGCAGTTGGTCCTGCTTCCACTTAAGTTGACGAAATGCCTCCTGATGAAATAACCACATTCTGCCTGACTCCTCAAGGTGTGTTTATGGAACTCTTTATCTCTGGCAGGTACTTGTAGAAATCATATCTGACCAGTCTCAGAGGGCAATCAGTCATTTTCCAGTAGCTGATGTTTTCTTCGCATTCGGGCTAATCACCCTGCCCACCACTGTATCACCCTTGCTCAAGCAGCAAGAAAGATCTTATTGATACAGATTACGAGAGCATTGTCAGCTCCATACGGCCTGTGGCAGTGCCGAGGGCACGGGGTCAAGTGTGACCTGAGTGTCCTTCTGCGTGGCCTCAGCCCTGCCTCTCACACGCGGCCTTTGTCTTCTGCATATTATCTGCCCAATTTCTCCCTTGAACCCTTTGTTCTATGGCTTTTACACACACACTTATCGTAAAATATGACCAGCACTCTAGTCACTAAGGGCTAAAACCAAAGTCAGCCTACTGAAGTTTGACCATGAAACACGAGTGCCTGGGAGCATCTGGAGACCTTGGCCCCCCCGGCCCGGGTGAGTGTCCCAGCAGTCCGGGCTGTGGCCCTTGCTGGGAGCTCTGGTCACTCTGCCAGTGTATCTCTCAGTCCTCTTCAAACCTTGAGGTCCAGGGAGGAGCAGTGTAGATGACAGGAGTTAAACTTGTCACTGAAACGAGAGATTGACAAAGAAAGGCATTATTTAATCTAGAAAAGATAATGACCTTGGAGTCAACTGGAAACCAAATTTAGAGTGTGCAGAATGGCAGCTGGTCTTGACTGCGCCCAGGGGCAGGCTGAGCCATCAGCAGGAGAAGCATAGCCTTTGACGTCAGAGCGAGCTGGGCTTGGTCCCACCTCCACATTCACAATCTAGCCCTTGTCTCTGGTCCCGATGTCTTATCTCTACAGTGGAGATGAAATGCCCCATGCTTCTAGGCCAGGGGTGGGCAAACTTTTTGACTCGAGGGCCACAATGGGTTCTTAAACTGGACCGGAGGGCCGGAACAAAAGCATGGATGGCGTGTTTGTGTGAACTAATATAAATTCAAAGTAAACATCATTACATAAAAGGGTACGGTCTTTTTTTTTTTAGTTTTATTCATTTCAAACGGGCCGGATCCAGCCTGCGGGCCGTAGTTTGCCCACGGCTGATCTAGGCTCTTTTGAGTCCTGAATGTCCTTAATGCCTGTATAACCACTGACTCGAAGTATATGTACAACTAAGAAGAGATAGGAGGGCACATGTCATATGATTTCTTTTATATGAAACTAGAGGCCCTCGTGGGCCTGTGCCCCCCCCCCACCCCCCGCCCATCCACTGGTTGTTCCAGAAGGTCTGCCGTCTGGTCTAATTAGCATATTAGCTCTTTATTATATAGGATTTCCAGAGCAGGCAAATTCATAGAGACAGAAAGCAGATTAGTTATTACTGGGGGTAAGGGGCTAGAGGTGGGAAGTGATTACTGATGGACTCAGGCTTCTTCTGGGGTGGTGACAATATCTGGAACTAGATGGTGATGATGATTGCTAAATGCCACTGAATTGCCACTCTATAATGATCAATTGTATCTTATATGGATTTCACTTTAATTTGAAAAATCTTTGGAAACCAAAAAAAAGCAGGGCGGTGGGAGGATGCTGGTCTGTCTGCTTCCAGCTGGGACCTGGTACAGAGTACTGGCCAGAGTTGAGGAAAAAGTCCTCCAGAACATGGAGAGCTCACCATAGCCATAGGGCCCAGGCCCCGCCCCTGAACCTCAGGTGCAGGAGACAGGCCAACGAGGATAGACGGTGCTGTTTTACAGAAGACTGACACAGCCAACCTTGTGAAGAGTTTGGATCCGGGACATGAAACAAATTGCAGAGTTTGCTCACCTCACTTCCGGGGACATTTATCCCCTGAGAAATCCTCATTGATTTCAGCGGTTATAATAAAGGCCTTAAAACCTTGAAGTGAATTTGCATAGATGCTGGGAGTTTGGCCTTGGAACCTTGGTTATGCCTTAGTCATTTATTACAGTAGCTGTGGGACACGTTCAAGCCACCTGCCTTACCTTTGTAGGTTTGAAGTTTGATTGTAAGCAGGCCCACTATGCTGGGGCCTTTGAGTGGGATGAAGACACTGATCAAGCCATGGGTGCCTAAGAGTAAGCCAGAATGCCAGCGACATTATCCCACTGCCATGAGGACCCTTGCTCACCACCCAACTTTCAGCATCAGTGCCTCTTGGGACCTTTTCTGGACAGGTGCGCTTCAGTGCCCTTAGTGCTCAGCCAGGTACAAGTAGAAACTGTGCCTACATCCCGCCTGGGTGCAGGGGGCCTTCCTAGGATGAACTGAAGGCTCTGGAGCGCGGTCGCCAACCTTTCGGACCTCACAGACCACCAGTGGTCCACAGACCACTGCTCTGGAGCATTCAGAGTCTCGCCTTGCACACTGTTGGCAACTGCGAGCACTGAGCACTGGCTGCTGCTGCGGCAGGGTGGGCGCCCGCTGCATGCTCCCAGGTCTTCTCTCCTCTGTGAGTGATGTCCAGGCAGGATCTGAGAGCGACAGGTGTATAGCCCTCTCCTTTGGAATCCCTCTGACTCCATCTTCTTTCTCTCATATTTCTCCTCTCCTTGCAGGTTCTGTGGGGACCCCGCTGCCAGGCGTTGAGGTACGAATTGTCTCAGAAAACCCACAGAAGGAGGGCTGCCCCTACATCCTCCACGCGGAAGGAAACGAGAAGGACACCAGGGTGAGCCACTCTGTTTTCCATGGTGGCACATGAGCGTTGCACGGTCATGACCACCCAGCAGGCCAGTCACAGGGGTTTGGGTCTCTGTGCTTTGGAGGTGGAATCCCTACTGCTTGGGGTTGGCCCTCCTGGAAGGTGGGGATGCTGGCTGGTATTTACCAAGGGTGCCACTGTGGACAGTGTGAGTGGGCAACCAGGGCCCAGTGTGCCCTGATCTCCAGTGCTCTGCCTGGCTTCTCCCTGCGCTCCATGCACTGGTGTTACTTTGAGGTGGGTCATGACCGCATTGGCTAAGGACAACTCAAGTTAAAACAGAAGTCACTATAGGTGGGATCTGTTTAAAAATTCTGTGCTGGCAGGACCCTGGTGCCTACTCAGAGTGACACCAACACACACTTCCGGGGCAGGTGTGGCCACGCCAGGAGCCTCGCTAGGGCTCTTTGGGCAGGTCCACAGGACCCTTTGAACTAAGGTTACTCATTTCTACTGAAGTCACTGGTGGTGCTCTCTTAGTTTCTATGTGATTCTAAAATTCACAAGAGTGAAGCAGAAACACTGTCCATTGTCTTATTTCAGTGAAGATTTTAATAGCTACAGATGTGCTGCTCATAAGTGAAGGGGAGTCACAGAAAAGTTTAGGATTAGTGGGAAGTGGAATTTTTATTTCAAGGGAAATGATGTTCATCCTGGCTGGTTTGGCTCAGTGGATAGAGCTTTGGCCCTCGGACTGAAGGGTCACAGGTTTGAGTCTGGTTACGGCACGTTACCTCGGTTGTAGGCTCGATCCCCAGCACCAGTTGGGGCACGTGCATGAGGCAAACAATTGAGGTGTCTCACATCAGTGTTTCTCTCTCTGTGTCTCTCCCCCTCCCTCCCATTCTCTCTAAAAAAATCAATGGAAAAATATCCTCAGGTGAGAATTAACCCCACCCCCCCCCCAAAAAAAAGAAGAAGAAAGGAAATGATTTTCTCTACAGCTGATATCCATACTAGACATCACCTGTGACTGATTTCTGTTACTCAGAGGTTTCAAAAGATGACAGTAGTGAGTCCTTATTCCAGCTTATCCTTCTTCATGGGCACTGCTGGGCTGGTCAGTCCCCCTCTGCACCTCATGTGCCAGGAGGGGCTGGGTGCAAGCCATGCTCTATGGGCCCCAGTTTCCACATCTGAAATGGGAGGACTGAGGAGATTGTTGTTGAATGTTTTTGTGCGTGCAAATAGGTGGAATTTGGATGCTTTGAAGTATAATTTATGGAAATTTTAGAATGATGTCAAAAAGTAGGCATTCTGTGTACCCAAGAACACCTCTTACCTGGGCCCTCACCAGGTTCTCACTCTCTCAGCCTCTGTTCCCAGATGTGATAACATCTAGACACAGTCTTGCTCCTCCACTACCACCCTGGGGGTCCGAGCCATTGCTGTCACTCCCTGACCACCCTCTGCCAGGGCTCTTGCCTCTGCCCTGCTGGTCCAAGGCGTCAGCCACACCCATACCATGGGGTCCTTTTCTGGCTCTCAGCCTGTGCCCTGCACTGCCTCCCAATACCGCCACCTCCTCGTGGACTCCCGCTTATCCCCTGGTCACCAGCCCTCCCTGCATTTGATGACTGCCTCCCCCATGGATGCTTAGCCTGTGTGCCAGGTCAGGAATGGCCAGCGGAGAATTCAGGCCAGGCTGTGGGTTCCAGGGACACTGCTCATCAGGAGGTCCCCAACAGAGAGGAACAGTGAGGATTTGTGGATCCATCAGATGCTAGTGGCACAGCAGCAGGATCCATGACTACTGCCTCCGCCAGGTGCCGATCGCCTGATGGCTCGGCCTCCATGTGCACCTGTTCTACTGGAAGTCGCAGGGATGCTGCCAGAGAGGAAGGGTAGGGGGGAGCATCACCCTCCTAAATGACCATACAATTTTAAGTAACTCGCACCTGTTGTGGCAGGCAGCCGGCCATCTGACAGCTCCTCTCCCGTCTTTGATTGTTTCCATCTACAGAGAGTTGTGCGCAGAAACTTGCTTAAAATAGAAAAAGCCGCAGCCCTGGCCCAGAGCGCTTGACAACCAGGGAGAAGGAAGCAATCGTTCCACAGGGTGGGGGCTGCAGGGGAATGGGTGCCACTGGCTAGGCCATGGAGATAGGAGAGGGCATAAGGGAGCTGGGTCTGGTGGTGAGTTCCGTGCAGGTACACCCCAGCTGTCTAAATGTGAACATAAGGGGATTTGGCACTCATGAGGGTGTGTTCTAGAACATTTTCAACTCAGTGAAGGGATCGGAGGACAGACAGTCCAGACTGTAGCTGCCCTGATGGCTGCGTGGAGTCTCAGGGCCCCTCCATGGGAAGACACACCAGAGGGCCTGTTGTCCCACACAGGGGTTTGGTCCTGGACCTAGTGTTTAGTCATGTGACCAGTGAGGCTGTGCTCGGCAAGGGCCACCTCTGGGGTAACCAGGGCCACAGGAGGGACCCCTGGTTAAGTCCCGGCTGCAGGGCCCTGCCTCTTTCTCCCTGTGCCTTTCTTGAAGGTGGCCCCGCCCTGGCACTGTTTGCTTGACCCCACCTTCAGTGCAGTAGGACACTTGCTCTCGAGGTTGTTACCTTCAAGGGCCGCAGACCAGAAACGGGCTTTGGGGTCTCACTCATGGGTAGAGTGACACCTCCTTCCTGTGTTTGATGGCATTTGTCAATCTATCTTTAGCCTTTAAAAGTGGAGACTCAAAGTCCTCTCCCCCCAAGACTTTGTAGAGTACGAATGAAGCAGTGCTCAGGCAGTTGCCTACATGGAACTTTCCATCTGGGCCTCCCGCTCTGTGAGATGTGGCCTCAGCTCCCAGCAGATCACAGCTGCGCTTCTGTGTCTCCACCAGCCCATCAGCACTGCAGCATGCAGGACGAGCCACGGGCAGGGTTAGGCCTAAAGGTATGCAAACTGAGGCCCCGGCCATCCTGAAGGAACTCATTTTAGTCCATTTCAGTGGCATGTTGCAGCGGAAACAGGAACTAGCACTGGCCTCGTTGGGGACCATGATTACTAATAAGAAAAGGAGGAAGCTACGGTACCCGTGAACTGTCGGTGTAGGGTGGCCTCATGCTGCAGGAGGCTGCAGTCTGCTCAGTTCCTACACGGATTGTGAACCTGCTGCTGAAAATTGTTGATACTGTCTCTGAAACAGAGATTTGCCAAGGAAAACCCTTCCAGTTCCTGTCTGATACACTGTGAGTTCCCAGTTAGTGCAGCCCAAACTGGTAAGGACTGACTCTTTAATGTTCGTAAGTTAGGATGGCTGAGATGATTTGTTTCAAATGGTTTGTTTGTTTTTTACTTTTACTTTATAGGTTTTTACTTTTAATTTGGTAATAAATTTATAGAAAAGTTGCAAAAATAACAGTACAAAAAACACCTGCACACCCCTCACCCAGATCACTTACTGTTAACATCCACTGTTCTTTCTCCACACACAGGATTCCTCTGCGCTGTGCGCCATGGCCCTTCACCCAAAACACCCACAGGACCAGCATCTTATCCAACCTCTCCCACGCTGTGGTGTTCCCCTTGTGTACTGACCTCATGATGTCACATGTAGCACCTTTCTCCACTGCAGGTTCAGTCTGGGGCAGGTGTTTCCTTGGTTTGTCCTGAGGACAGACAGGTCTTGAAGCAGGTCTGTGCACCTGGATGATAGGCATGATGTCCGTGCAGGTAGCAGTTACCAAAGAGAGAAGTGCCTACTAAGCGGAAGTGTGCCGCGTGGTAATGGTGAGCGTACAGCGAACGTGGAGGTTCAGGGAGGACATCACTGAGAACTCCCTGGAGCCAGCCTGCTGTGGGAGCTGTGGCCTCAGCCTCTCCCATCCATTCCTTCCTTTCATCCAACTAGCACATGAGGAGACCCCTCTGGGCTGGACACCAACCCTCATGTTGCTGCCAAGATCAGCAGACAGGTGTCAGCAGTAATGGCACCCATCCTGGCAAACGCAGCGCGGGGTAGGTGTCCCGCAGGCCATGCAGAACTTCCCAGACAACAGGAGACCCCTGTTAACTCCTCCAGGCCCAGAGCAAGGGGTTCTCACAAGCTCACATCACCCAAGAGCTGTGCTGCCTGAGGGGCAGGTATATATGGGTCAGGAGGGCAACTTGTCCTGGGTGCCCCACAGAATATAGCCTGGGCTCACTGCAGGTTGTTATGCAGTGACACCATCGTGTCTCCATGCCCCTGAGTGTGTGGCTGCCCTGGCTGACCAGCACCCCAGCAGCTCAGTTGTCCCTGTTGTCTGTGGCTCTGCTGCCAGCACTTCCTGATTCTTGCAACTTTGGTGGGACTTCAGGCACTGGTAGAGCAGGCGCCCTCCCCCACTGGGAGGTTCTCCGGCACCATTTGAAGTAGTTTCACCTTCGAGGCTTCCTCTGGCTGCGCCCTCCCTGCTGGGCTGGGTTAACGCATGGCTTTGTTTGCTGCCATGCATCTTTCATGTGCTGCAGCCTCCAGCTGGCTCCTGCCTGTAAACTCTGCACGTCGCACACTCTCTTTATTTATTTATTTTTATTTTTTGAAATTGCTTGCTTACATGAGAGCCGAGCACCAGCCAGCAACAATGGGGTCCATCAGCAGATAAAGGGCTTCACAGCTGTATGTAACACAGAGGATAGCCAGGCCACCACACAGAATCCTCTCCTCTTGCTGAAGGTGCAGAGACCCATGTGGATGTGCATTGGCTAGAGCAGAAAGGTGCTGTGAGCTCTGTTTCCTTTTATTTCTTCTTAAAAATTAATTATCTCATATCTTATCCATATGCAGGCTGTCGCTCTGGACAGCAGACTGCTCTGTTGCCTCTCCTGCCCACGCCACCAGCATCTCCAGTCCCCTCCCCTGTCACGGCCATCTGTCGCTACGTGTGCCGCCAACTGCTGCACCTGACCCATAGTGGGGCCTGGAACGCTCTGCCCCACGATGGTAATGGTGCCTTCCCCACAGACGCACTCACTTCAGACAAACAGCTGA